CTTTCATATTTGTCTTATAATTGCATAGAGCTAAATTTAAAGGATTTCAAGACTTCTCTTAAAATTCATGATTCAGAAAAAATATATATGTAGCTTCAGCTTCGGATCAATGAGCCAGTACCGCAAGCACTCCTAAAATTATAGGAAAACATGACTCTGATCCTGTCAAACTCAGATCAGTGCCATATGTTATAGAAAAGATATAAGGAGTAGAGAGAAATCATTGCTAGATACTATTACAAAGGCATTCCATAAAACACAGAAGCCTGCTGATATTTCTTATAACAAATTACCTGAACCTTAAAGGCTGTGTCAAAGCTATGGGAACCAGGAGCACTTCCCAGATTTGGCCTATCTCGGCTGCCTGTTGGGATGAGACAGACATGTGCCATGTCTCCACACACTTTAGTTTCCTATGGAAATGCAGGTGTGCAGGTAGGCAAGGAGAGAAACTGAACTTCCATAGCTCCCTTGGTCTGGATCAGTTGGGGGATCAGCATGCAGCCCAAACTGGTCTCCACTCCCAAGTAATAAGCAATAGAACAAGATGATATGGCCTTAAGTTGCACCAGGGGAAGTTTTGATTGGATATTAGGAAAAATATCTTCACCAAAAGGGTTATCAAGCATTGGAACAAGCTGCCGAGGAAAGTGGGTTGAGTGTCTGGAGGCATTTAAAAGATGGGTAGACATGGCACTTAGGGACATGGTTTAGTGGTGGACTTGATAGTGTTAGGTTAAGGGTTGGACCCGATGATCTTAAGGGTCTATTCCAACCTAAATGATTCTATGATTCTAAAGAATAAGTTGTCAAGATTCTTAGTAACCCAGGGCTGAAACAGACACTTATGGGAGCACAAAATAATAGCAACACATACAAAAAACTTTGTGACATAGCAAACCTAGAAAGATCTGTAATAGCTTCATGACAATTAGAAGCATTAATATTCTTGAAAATGAAGTGAGTCTGCAGCATGGTACATCAGAGGTCACAGTTTAACTGCTGATATCAGCACTGTTTTCGATGGACTTCCACTCTAAATGGTGCCGTGCTAGAAGTGTCATCTCTTAACTACCTTGCCAAAGATATGGGGCAAAACTTGGGTGATATTTTGAATGTCTTTCTTTTATATCCAGCTAATATCTAAATTCACCTTGTCTACAACTAGAAGGGCAAATAAGTAGCTCAGTTTTGAACATCCGCCAATGTTTTTTTTAAGATCAGCAGAGGTACTCGTCCAGCACCTCTTTTCCAGAGACATCTCTTGGCTGCTAAACAAAGTCTGGAAATCTGAATCCATTCATGAACTCAGATTTCCCATGTGGCAAAATACGATGCCTCAGACTGCCCCACTAGCTCTAGAAAGACAGGTACACTGTCCTTAAACTGGCACACATCGCTGTACCTTGGGTTACATACGTCAAAGCTTCGTTCTGCACTATCCAGTAACAGCGGGGGCTGTCAGTACCAAGTATCAAGATACTAAATTAAAGGCACTAGAAAGAGAAAGGATGAATTGAGGGAAATAAGCTAAACCAAGAAAGTTGTTAGGGACTTGCTGTCATATGAACCAGTAACGGTGTATCTGTAAGTATTCTGTTGCAACTTTTCATCCCAGCTGAGGAAAAATATATCCTTCAACACGTTGAAATATGAGAAGTTGCTGCAGCATGGAAAATCCTTTACAAAGCAGTTTATAAATAACTGATTAGTCAACAAGTACTTCTGAAAGCCCATGTATCTCCTAAGTCCTTTTTTCTAGAAAAAAAAAATTCAAAACACCTGTCTGAAAGTTATTTTTTACCTACATTCTCTTTGTTATTTTTCTGTTTAAAGACAATACAACAGTGGCCAACCACATCCAATAAAGGATGAATTAATGAAGCTCATAAAAATAGCTCCTTAAAATGAAAATCTGGGAATTATTTGCTTTATAAAGAACTATGAAATATATATGTGAAAAATCTGAAGTGTCTCATTAAGGTGCTAGCCTCCTTCTGAATATTATTTGTTATAAATGAGCTTCAGTCATCATCTTATCTTACCGTTATGGAGATCTGAAATCTTGAGTATGTAAAAATACTTAAACATTTAAGCAAAAAACATGTCAGCGTGTGGTCCTGGTGCCTGTGTCCGTTCCATGTGATAAGTTAATCACGATATTAAGGCAATAAGTAGGATTTTTTTTCTACATTGCATTGAGAGTTACTTATTCCTCTGTATGAATGAGTCACTACAGGAACATCTTGGAGCTGAACTTGCAGCTTCTCCATATACAAGTCCTTGCCCAAAATACTTTTAAATTCAGCTTATTTGGTTTGCCTAAAGCCTGATTAAAGATAATGTATGTCAGTTGGTGATCAAGGAGAATCAGGGCTCTGAGATGTTTTATCACAGGCATATCAGGTACTACCTATGCAGTGAAGGAAAGATAACATTACATGTGCTGTTGTTGTCAGACTTCAGAATGGAGGGACAATTTGCGAGACCTCACCTGGACCATTTATTTCTGGGTCACAGAGAGACAGAAGAGAAAATGTGCTCATAGGAATATTTCTCTATACAGAAAATAGTAATGCATTTTATCAGAAAAATTCTGTCACAGTATTTCAAGAATCATCTGAAAATAAATCTATTTGTGAACAATCACAAGTTTATTGGTCCTATTTTTTTGATCCAAGAAAAAAAGCAAATTTGGAACCTGTCAGATGTTTGGATATTAATGGAAAAATTTAGAGATGTTTTAACCTTTTCTCAAAAACAGGGGCATAACTAGAGCTTGTCAGGTTAAAAAAGAGCAAGATTATTCTCAAAAAATTAAATTGAGGGAGCAAAATGTTGCATATACTTGAATGGTACGTTCATCTTACTACTGTTACTGGTAGAGTTCCTATCTATCTACACGTTCCCTTCTACTGTATCATAGGACAGAGAGGATAATCAGCAGCATCCACTTCCAGAACATGCATTGTAACACTGCTAGAGATTAAACTCAGTCTTGATAAACACTGATTTCCACCCATGGCTTGACACTGTATGCCTGATATATAGAACTCTCACTGAAATGAGTGCAAATGCACCCAAGGTTTATACCACGAAAAATACATTTTCATATAGAAAATGTGAAATATTTTTCCATTATCATTTGACAGCTGCCTGTCAATAAAATTGTGCTTGCTATATCTTGAACAGTTTGTGAGTGCACTGATGGGTAGACTTCATAAAGAGCTCTGACTTTTTTCAAAGCTGTCAAATCCTTAAAAACTGGTGAAAATATATATAAGTATATATTGTCTTGCTGAGTTAATTTTTAAAATGTTTCCTACTGTTTTATTAATAGTATAACATGTAAACACTTAACTGTCAGCTGCTGGGGGAAGAAAATAGTTAAGTTGCAGAAAGGCTTAGAGGGCTATACAGTTCTTTTAACGTATCCACCCATTGCTATGGACTTATTACAATTTTACAGAAACTCACAGAAATCATTCAAGTGTTACTCTGAGATGTAAGCTGGACATAGCCTGGCAGCATTTCAGCCATACAATTCTGTGATGCACTGTTCAATAACCCATAGTCAAAATTGCAACTTACCTTCTGCATCTTCTGGCCTTGTAAGATCGATGACACCAGGGCCCAGTTTTCCATCTTCATTGGGTTTTCCTGTTAACTGTGGGCCTAAATTTTCAAACCTTGTTCTTTCCTGGAAAAGAACAGAAGTCATCTTATTGCTCCGTATAGGTTAGTTCTCATTACATGTCTGTGCATACATGTATGCACTGATACACACCTTATTTTTAAAGTCTGAACAAATAAATCATGCATTTAATTAGAATTTTAACTCAGGGACAATTTTTTACAGATTCTGAATGTTTGCATTTATGAAAATCAGTTTTAAATGTGAAACATATACAGAAACTTTGAGATTATTTTGATCTGCACTGCCACAATGCATAAATGATTGTACATGCAAATACAAAACACTCTTGGCAGCAAACAGTGCTGATCGATGCTGCTCACTTTGCCTTTCCACTTATTTTCTAACTTGAACTGGAAAAGACAATCAGCATTTGGGAGACATGAAAATTCAGAAGTAGAAAAAAGAGTTTGTATTAAAATATACTGCTAATCTAATGGAAAAAGCATTTTTTTCCCCCCACTATGAGATTTGAGTTTGCATTCATACCTCTGAGAAAACACAAGTCTGAATTTTATGCAAGAGGTTTTCAAAGACAAGTATTTGAAAGAAAGAATAATAGATGACAGAACTGATATTATTATTTTGTCTAGGAATTTAAATTGTACCTCAGTGGAAAGGGAACCTAAGGAGATTTAAAAAAAAAAAAAAAAAGGGGGGGGGGGGGGGGGGGGGGGGGG